CCTCTTTCTGGCGCAAAGTGAGCGATAAACAAACATGAGAGCCGATCAGCTGATCATTGATCAGTTTTCATGATTGAAGTAGAAACGGGAGAGGGAGGGGGAGAGGGAGAGGATGAGAGAAGAAGAGGCAGCTGTGCAGCAAAGACACAGAATAACTCCAGCTTTGTGCCTTTTTCATTGTAGCTGAATTACGGGACAAACTGTTCCTTTTCACCTCAATAAGAAACGCGTAATATTTTCTCTCAATACCAGACGGGACGGTTGGCAAACTCTAATAACTTATGAACAAAATAAAGTTCAACATCATTAACTTCATAGCACCCACCCAGCTGTATAGAAACTCCGTCATGCTAGCTAGCACGCAGTACGGAAAAAGTCAGAATAACGAAAATAAACTCCACCTAAACTTGGTTCATATCTGACCCAGAGAGACTGCAGGTCATAACTTCTTACCTGAAGTTCAGTTCACACTTGGACCGGCGGCTTCCTCGGGTCTCTTTTCCTTCTGCGTCCCTTTTCCTTCACCCATCTGCTGGCCTCCACCACTTGCTAATGTTACTGAATCTGTTGGAAGCTCCGCGATAGCCACCACACGAAGTAACGAGTAACGACCCTATCTAAATCCCAGTAACGAGTAACGACCCTATCTAAATCCCAGTAACGACTAACGCGTTCCTGATTTTGGCATAATAACTAGTTACCGTGCTCGTTACCACAATAATAACGTAGTTACTGTAACGCGTTACTTAATAACGCGTTAGTCCCAACACTGTAGATTACACATATATAATAGTCAAGTATGTCGAGTATGCCATAATGAACCACTAAAATGGAAACCACACTCAACAGTTCATTGCACCTAAATTTTGTTGTGCAAGTAGTTGTAATGCCCATTCTTTCCCTGTGTCCAGTTTATTGTTCTGTGCTGGTGTATGAAGAATTTACAAGATCACTGACATTTGGCTTTTTTTTTTTTTTAAAGCTTGTTAAGCTACCCTTTGTGAATCTCTGAAATTTACTTGTCAGCCTAGGTAAACTGGAGGAGGAGTTTGAGAAGAAGTTTAACAGCCTGCCACAGTATAGCCCGATGACCTTTGATAAAAAGGGCACTGCTGTTGCAAAAAAAAAGAAGTCCGACAGCACCACCATCCAAAGAGATGAGTCTAAGACCGGAAAAGGTAGGAACAAAGTTTGAGGTCCAGTCTACACTAGAATAAATAATGTGATATACATATGAGTGACAAATTAAAGAAACACTCAAACCCTCGGCCCCTGAAGATTTGGTGGATTTTGTTTGGGGGGTTTGTGTTCCCTTTGACTGAAGATTGAATGGTTACTGGATGTGGTCTCTTGAGGATCACGATATCCCAGTGTATAGGACACAACAGTTCACAACATTTCATTGGGTGATTAGATGAGGATTATTTGAATGACATTCTATGGCCTTCACAGTCATTGGACCGTACCCTAACTGAAGATTTCGCCCAGTTGTTAGACAGCAATTTCCACTGCCAGCATCAAAACATCTAACTATAAATATATTTTCGATCAATGTTTTAGACACCTATGGACATTAAGGCACTAAAGCTTGATGTTGAGTTTTTTTTATTAATTTGTCACCCATTTCTACACCCTCACTTATCATCCATAATCCACTCTATACCTGTTTATACAGTCCTATTCAGGTACTAAGGACCAGTTCTCATTATGTATAAAAAAATAGAAACAAACCAAAGAAACCTTTGGACTCCATAACATTGAATTTCCATGATCTTCCTTTCTTTACCTATCTGTTTTTTTGTTGTTTGTTTGTTTTTTTTGTTTGTTTGTTTTTTTTTGCTATATCAGGGCCATCTCAGAAAAAGACTACATTCCACAAGATTGTTAGGACGAGATTGCACAAACAAAAAAAGGAGAAACCAGGTGCAGTGGAAAAAGGTGAAATAGATTGTTGATTTTTGCGCTTTATATAGCAGGTCCATAAACCATTTTCAAATTAAAACTGAAACACAGGGGATGAAAATGTTCAAAAGTTACCTGTTTTTGTGATTTCTAAGTTATTAAACAAAACTGTAACTATAGGACACAGGGGATATCTATGAAATACTCTGCAGAGAATTATTTGTAAACAGTATGCTTTTGTTTGGTCACAATGAATGATAAAATTGTAATCGTTAAGTCATTGTTAAGAGGACTCAAATGTCTGTGCTGGTGATTTTCAGTTTTTTTTTTATGTCTGTGCAATGGTCAAATGACTGAAACCATTGTGGTGATTGTGCTCCACAGCAGTGGGACAGACTGATTCCACACTGGATATAGGTTCGGAAGTCAAATTATGTGCTCCCGTTCCCATAATGTGCCCAGATGTCCAGGGCACTGCTACCATGGAGATACTAGTTGGTAGCCAGAAACGAAAGGCAAGGAAGACTAAGATTACACACTTGGTGCGCACGGCACATGGCAGTGTGTCTCCAAGTGAGGGTGAGTAACGTCAATATCCATTTTGTTTTTGCAGTTTAGCTCAATGTATCAATATACATGAAAAAAATGTCATTTTGGAAGTGGCAGGTCCAACTTGATAGTCCAGAATTTGTCTTATGCTGATATTATATTTTAATTTATTTAATTAGTAAGATACTCAGTCCACCCAGGCTGATATATTAAGGAAACTGGAACTAAAAGCTTATTAGCTTGTAGCAGCCTGTACCTACATTGTCTGATAATTCTTGTATACAGTATCTTGGCATTAAACTGTAAATTGAAAATGGCAGCAATGTATTTCTCAAAATCTCCGCAACTCTGAAAGTGTCCGTGTGGTCAACAACTGACACACATCATGCCGCTATCGTGTGACCCAATCAGAGATAGTCAGGGGCGGGACCTCTAAAATTGGCCATGGTCCTGTAGTTGTCCCGTAGTCCTTTGTGTGTACATTTGAAAGTGCAGGTGGAAGAGGGAGGTGAGTAGCTTGAATAAAGCGATATCAATTCATTAAATCCTGAATCAACTTTTAAATATAAATATATTTTGCCAGAAACGCCAGAATCTCAGATTAAAGCTCTCAAAACTATTTCAACAACCACCAAACAGCAAATGAGAGCAGGTACACGGATTCTGCACAAAGACGTAAACACAGAGCACCGACCCGACGCATCAGAATCAGCTTTCTCTTTCTTGGCTTTCTCACCCGACGGCACCTACACGGACACGTCTCTCTCCAACCAAAATTCACTGAACCAGCAGCAAAATAAGATCTAAACTACGCTTCACATTTGATAAATATTGTCATTACTTTCCTCTTACTTTTGCTGTTTTGCTTCCACCACGATAAAATCACACTTTGTGCACAGCTCTCTCTCTCTCTCTGTGTACTTCAAGAACAGTTTTCCCATCTCAAATCTTTGTTTTTTGGCGTTATTTATTCGCTTATTACCCACCAGTCTACCGTTGTTTACAGCACTAATGGCTGCTGTCTTTTTTTTTTTTTTTGGACTTGAATGTCCTCAGACAAGAAAGCCTAATTTCTGCTGTTCAATACTGTAGAAATTTATACTTTTTAAAATTATGCAGAATATTTTTAAGGTTATATGCTATAAAAAGCCAGGCCAGGAAAATCTCCTTCATGTTTTTCTGTGTTTTATTCTCAGTTACTTTGACACAAAGGCATCTGCTGTGATGTTCACACCTCTGATAAAGTCTCACATGTATCGTACTGATAAATGATCAGAATTATAAACAGCCTTTTTGTGTTGTTCTTGTTAGTAAATGGTAAATCGACCAATTCTTTTTTTCCAAAGGTTGATTCTGTTCATCTGGATGTAGCGTTTTCAGATTCTGAAGATTTACTTAACTGGCTGATTGAGAATGCATTAAGATATAGCGCTTTTCTACTCAGTCTGAGCACTCAACTTGTGCAGTCACCCAAACTCTTTTTCTAAGCTGTTTCTACATGCTTCCTGTGTAACAATCACACAGTCTTTTTGTGGCAGAGCTGAAATGCAGTGGAAATAGAATATTTAGTCATATGTTTAGTTTTATGGTAAAGAGGGACCACTGCATTTATGCAAACTGGCATAATAAAAACTGAATCCACAGACTTTGTGAAAACTAATAATTTTATTCTTAAATTTACCACTTTATTAGATAAACCTGCTTAACTTCTTGTTAATGCAAATATTTCAACAGCCAATCAAATGGCAGCAGTTTAAGCATGCAGAGATGGTTGAAGTTCAAACTTATCATCAGAATGAGGAAGAAAGCTAGTCTGAGTAATACTCAACTATTTCAGAAACAGATCTACTGGGATTTTCCTGCACAACAGTTTCCAGATTTTCAATAAAATCCAGTTTGTCTAGGCAAAAATGCCTTGTTTGTGCCAGAGGTCAGAGGGGAATGGCAGGTGAGTGTCTAAAATGTATCCAGGAGTTTGTATCTCACGTATGGTATCGGCCACAATTTCATTGTACATGTACAAAAGCAATAAAGGGCTATTTTATTCTGTTCTACTCTGCTTAAAGCATTCTTCAGATAAAAGAATTAGCGAAAATATTCACGCACTCGTACTCTGACGGATGCATCAGGGGGAACTCGAGGTTCTCACCCAAGGATACTCTTACACACAAACATAAGGAGCTGGGATTCAATCTACCGAAATTCCAGTCGGTAGATGACCCTTTCTGCCACCTGAGTCACAGCATCCCCAAACATAAGTGTTTGAATATAGCTCCTTCCTTCTTAGTACACCCTTTGCTGTGATGTGTGATGCTACATGTGCTGTAGATAGTGAAAGAACTGAGTGAGAGCACATTTGACCAAATTCATTTCTACGTACCACATAAATCAGCTAATATTTACTTATATGATCCAACCATTTCTACTTTTTGGTGGCACGATACACTCTGGCATCTCATGTCATGACGGTTTTTGGTAAAATTATTTTGAAACTTAATATGTGAGCAGAAACTATTAATGACATGTTCTGAAAAATATTCAGTTATGTTCCTGAGAATTGTACATATGTGCTTTGTTACTACAGAAGACAAAACAAGGGACCTGAACCAGGACCAGGATAAGAAGCCATTACCACAACAGAATTTATGCAATGAAATGGGGTGCTATAGTCACAGAGGAGAGGAGGCAGAAAGAAGCACCATATCACAAGAGCTGCCTGCCTTGTTCAGCTTGGCTGCCCTCGCTGAGGTTGCAGCCATGGAAAATATTCACAGGTAGAGACCGGTTACCGTATGCATGGACTTGGCTTGTGATTGTTATTCTTTTGCTAACACTTAAGGATTGTAATATACCAGAGATTAGTTAGGTTTTATTTATTGGGTCATTTTAATTAAGGTAGGCAAATTTTTCTTTTGGGGGTGGGGGAGTATTCCTCACTTAAATGTTATAAATTTGACCATTTAAAAAAATAGAGTGCACTGCTAGCACCCTTACATGCTGCTGTCTAGAATTTAGATATCTCATATGAACCATTCAGTTCAGTTCAGCTTTATTTATACGACGCATCCATATGACTCATTGCAACCCAGTATTTTTATTTTCATTTCTACTCTCTGATTCAGCTTTATATCAAATTACTCTTTATTTGTGTTATTCAGCACTGCAATAACCAAGCTTGGAGAGTTATAGCATTTTTAATACTCTTTCTTTTTATTGTATATTGTGTTATTTTGGTTTTATGACTGATTTGTCTTCTGTCAAGAATGAAGACATGAAAAAAGGAAAGAAAAAAAATGCTATTCATATGTCATATAGTCTTTTAGACTATGGTGGAAATGCAGAGAACTTGAAAGAATTTCCAAGAACTTTGCATTAAAAGACAATGGGCCTAGTGCTTGAAAGCAAAATCTTTAAACTAGTTTAAAAAATGAAGCATACTCTTCAGTCTCTCTTACTGTCTTGTTTCAGAGGTCAGAGAGGCTTGGCTGAGAGTCAGAATAACGAACTTTCCCAGACTCCAGTTCTCATCTCCTGCGCTGATCAGTGAAACTCTTCTGCTGTTCTGAGAAGCCACAACACGAAGGTTTGCATTGGATCTCAACTTTCCTCTGTGGTAGCCCCACACTGAATGAAGACTTGATCGAGAAGCTTTGGACATATTCCACCTTCCGCTTTGTGGTAAATTTCCTCGAAGGAGAAGGAGACCTTCTCCTCCTCCTCCTCTTCTTCCTCCACCTCCTCGTTATCTCAGTGTTTCCCCTTAAACCTTCTTTTGGTTTGGGGGAAAGATGCCTTTCTTAAGTCCATACATCCCCATCCCCACTCCCAGATATGCTAATAGGGCCTTTGAAAGTATCAAGCTATCAACCAGTGCATGGCTTCTCTTATAGAGATGGATGTCATGGGTTTATTGTACATGTTTATCAAACAGAGGCCATTTTAAAGTTAAGGCATTTTAGATGGAAAGAAAAAGAAACTGCATTTGTTTTAGAGACAGATCAGCTTTCTCTCATCTTTTATACCTCGCACATACACCTGCTGAAGAGTTCCCTCCACCTCTGTTACAATACCTCTGCATTTAAATAGCTCTTAATCCCTTTTAGCTTCAACCCAAAATGGCTTAAACCAGGGTAACCAACCACGATTGGTAGACCATTACTAACTTAGTCTTACGGTGTACTCAAACACTGAAGAAATCTTGGTTGAGGTTTGGATATGTGTTAAAATTGTGATGCTTTACTACAAAAGTGTGGTAACCGCAAATAAATGTGTTATAGCCTGAATATGAAAAGTAGACCTGTGCATCACTTGCATGTAAACAAGGAGCCCTGTCTAATTTCTAGCAGTAGAATCACAGTGTGGCTGTGAGGCTTGTGGGGGAAAAAACACATTTTTGTGATGGGGAGATTGAGGAAAAGTGCTTAAACTATAGTCTTAACCCTCCCACCTACACCCTCTTTGCCACCAGAAAGCCCTCAAGCAGCTTCTTGCTCAGTGTCCCAAAGTCAGTGCAAACATTTCTGAAAAGTGAATGCAGTTTTTGTCAATACTTGATCTTATTGCAGTTTGCGTAGCAGTTAGAAAGGTTAATTTATGTGTACGTCTTACTTCATGAAAGAGGTGTTTTGCTTGTTTATACCATAAAAATAGACTAATCATAAGTTTAAGTTTAAATTGCTCATGTAACGGGGTAATAAAATGCATCATCTCCACCAGAGGCAGTGTTCTTACTTAAGTCAGTAGTATCTTTAACACCCTCAGGACCTGGCTAAAACCAGCCACAATTTCAACATAGATGAGAGGAGTCTCAGTGGAATATATGTGTGTGTGTGTGTATATATATATATATATATGTATGTGTATATATATATATATATATATATATATATACACACACACACACACACATATTGCACAGTAGAGAAATTAGAGAAGTATAAAACGTTTCTCGACTTGTGCTAATTTATTTGGATTGGCAGACAGAGCAGACAAAGATGACCACACCACAGTGAGCTCACAGATGACCTGGAAACACCTGTGATAAAATTCTTGTCATTCTTCAGTATTTGTTGTCGGACTCTTTTCTGTGGCAGGAATTTCACAGCGTGTGGGGCACAAAGCAAAATGGCAGACAATGGGAG